TTGCCAATTTAGTTAAAATCCATGTGATTACAAGTAAAATTAACAGCGTTCTGAACTATTCCACTTTTCAAGTGGCTAGGTTCTTGAGCAGCTTTTGAGTAGGAAAATAGTCATAAATACGTTAGTATGACTACAGAAAGAAGTCATAGTTCCTCTTTGGTGAAGCAGAGTTTAACAAAGCATTCTTGATTTATTTGTTTGATCAGCCAAGATGTTTGAGTCTGAATATTTTTGTTGATGCTGAAGAAATTACTACTGTCTGTTTAATAAGGACAGTTGTGACTTCTCTATGACAGACTATAAAGTGAAGTCATGTAAAGAGATATTTGAGGACAGGAGGCAGGATGCTTTCTTGGCTATGGAAATGGAAGCAAGCTGAGTTAGACAAGTTTTATCCTTGGCTTTACTGGTAATTTATTGGAGCAGGAGCTTTTGACAGCCTGTGTCATCTGTCTGTTCTTCTGTTTGTCCTGTCTATAAGATGAGAAAAATAAAACAGAATTGTTTCCTTTGTAAATAAAGTTGATATTTCTGAATGAAAAGTGATGAAAAGAGCTGAACGTCATAGTTGTAAAGAAAGAGGCTATCTATACAAAGGAAAGAATTTTCATACATTTCCATTGCATTAATATTTCAATTAAAGAGTAATTCTCATGGTTCCTGCTGTTCCGTTTGTGATGTTAGAGTCTATTTTGTCCTAAATTCTCACTCGGCTGAGATCTCATTGGCTATTACAGCAGCTTGCATTTGCTGAGATGTTTTATCAGAAATGAAATAGAAATAACTTAAATGGGATGATGCTGATTAATCATCTGAGAATTGGGCTTTATTTACAACATACGTGATTTCTTATATTGCTTTCATTGTACTATAAACTTCTGAGATGCAAGATTGAAAGAACTCTGTTGCTTTGCTGTTGGGATAACTTTTGTCTATTCCTTGGATTGTAACAGGGCCTTTTTTCTGAGATTATTTTGGATTGTTGGTGAAGAAGGGGGTCTTCCATCATATGCTGAATTCTCACATTTGATTTCTGGCACAAGGGATTTCCTAAACCTAGTATGTGAGCTTAGGGAAGGTTGAAAAGAAAGTACTCCCTTGTAGCTATGTACATGAAAGTGATTATGCAGCTAGTAATTTATTTTCCTTATAGTACCAGTGGAAGTATAACATATGTACTAAATAATTATTTATAAACATATGAAGGCTTTCCTAAACAGTTTTTAAAATATAATCTTCAGTACTGGTGTATTTATATAACATCTCATGCAGATATCCGGAGGGACTGTTCATAAACCAATCATAAAATATACAGAAAATATCACCAGCTTACCTTCAGCATATAAAACAGCATTTAGAAATGAAATTTCAGGCTTTTCCTCCCCCTACTTTTCTCTTTTTTTCTGTCTTTCTGATAGAAGCTCACAGTAATAGGCCCTGCCATCTGCTGCTATATATTTTTCATGAGTTTTAACATTTTGTTTTTAGAACCTGAAAGATGAGTAAAATGTCAAGTCACCCAGAAAATAATCATAGGCATGACAACTCAAATGTTATCTCAGCTTGTCTGTACACGAAGTGGTTCACAGCAGGTCTGTGCCCTCCCTCTGCAGACGGAGCAGGCGAGCAGGTACACTGTTGGTATTAGCTGATGCATTTTCAACCACCACCGCAGGGCCTGAGCAGAAGCTCTCCTCTTGATTTTAATGAGAGTCATGTGGCCCAAAAAACCCCAACGGCATCCCTTTCAAAGTTTGTTCTGTAGAAGGTGAACTTCAGATTTCTTTTAGAGTTTTGTGTTATTTGACTGTTATTTGGAGTGTCTTGCCATGGCTGCTGGCCTAAATAAAATGCAGCCACCAGGCAGCCATTGAGACAAGGTGGTAACTACACCAGCAAAATCAATTCCCAGCAAAGAAGTAAACTCTCTGTTGCTTTATCATAGACGTGTCCTGGGCTTTTTACTACCTTTCTCCCTCCTCCAATTTGAAAGCCCGGGTTTGCAACTCCCCTGCCAGCCCTACAGCTGCAGTGTGGCAGGGAGGTGCGGCAATGATCTCCTTCCAGGTCGCGTGTCTCTGGCATTTCCAACTGCTTTTTGTTTTTTCCCATTCTGTTTTTCCATCCTGCTGGGACTAGACTGGAGCTGACAAGCTGAGAATGTGTTGGAAAGATACAGGAATAAGACCTTCAGCTCAAAAAATGCTCTCAGTTCTTAACTTAATTTGGAGGGAAAGAACTGTGCAGCCCATTCGTGCCACCTTGCTGTCAGGCTGCACTCAGGATCTCTTTCATTTGACAATATGTACTGTTAACATAAGAAGTGTATAGCCATATCATTTGCCTCCTACATTTTTTAACCATGCGAAGAGAAAATTATTTCATTGAATAGGTTCCCAGCAGCTCAAGGATGGCTTTCATAATAAATCCTCTGCAGATTTTCTAACTTTCATTAGAGTAAGAAGTCTCCTCGGTGATCTTTGCACTCCCAGGCTGTGCAAAAGCCCTCGTTACAGTGTTGCAAGATTTTTCTCTTAATATTCCACTTCAGAAGTCTCGAGCTTGTTTTCAATTATCTCTATTCTGTGCTTCATTTTACTCATTCCTTTATAAAGTCCCTTGTTCACAGAACAAGTCCCTTGTTCGCAGGATTTTTCAGGCTTTCCAGTGAAAGAAGATGATCTTTCCTTTACTAGCACTGCTCTTTGAAACTGCCTATACACTTGTTGCTGGAGCTACACTGTTGAAGAAGGCAGTGGGAGAGGCAAGTTAGTTCCCAATCTAAGAGGATCTTAAGAAATAGGAGACAGAAAAGTGAGGGTTCTTTCACAGATTTAGTTTTGTGATTAATATATATTTAATGAATGTGCTTAGCCATACTGTTCTGGTCCGCTGAAATGATGAACAAGGCAAGTACTATGGATGACTCAGAATTGAAACCACTCATGTTTTGTCAGTCATGTCAGCAGAACTCAAATTTGCAACCCTCAGGACAGGGACAAATGACTGCCTCTCCTATTGCTGCAGCGGGAGGTCTGGAGAGGGGCTGCGTCGTGGTTTGGGCTAGGCTGGCCACTAAAACCAGGTTGAGCCCTGTTGGTCAAGTAAAATAATTGGAAAGAACATTGGTTCTGTTGTAATTGGAGCCAGGACAGGCTGTGTTCCCGCTTTGGACAGTGCAGTTGTCTCTCAGTGGGGTCAGGTGAACGTTCTCAGCTCTAGAAAGGGAGTGTTGGGAAAGGTGAGCACGGAGCAGGGAGAGATGGACCAGCTGTGGTGTGTGGCCACCTCTAACTGGGAATGTGAGCCCAGCTGGGCTTGCTGTCTTGGGGCTCCGTGATGTTGGTGCACAGGGGAGCCCCTGCTGTTGTCACCCTTCGCCTGATTTTGTGACTGTAACGTTGTAGGTATGATAGTGTAAGGAAACAGGCTTCATGGAATTTGTACTTCTGTAGGACCGATATAGATGAGCCCTGGAAAAGACCTGAAGAAAAAGCTCGTATGTCCAAAAGTTTCTCTGATAAGATGGATATTGCCTCCATCTGTAAAATGGGTCCTATTTCAAGGAACTGTAGCTTGACTATGCTACGCCTACATCTAAATCTGAGCTCGACTTCTGTGCTAATGTTTTGTTGTCATTTGTGTTCCAGTTAAGAAGCTAATTGTGGGCAAATTACTCGTATAATGAAAATGTCTGAAGAAACTGTAATTACAATTACTGGCTTACAGTTTTCAGAGCACCAAATTTCAAGAATTTCAAGAGTGGGATACTAGACCTTTAAAACTTTGAAAATCTCTCGTGATTTTACTAATTTTTGTGCTTTTAAATACATTCCCCTTTCATAATGTGCTTAGATTTACTTTATTAACATCAATTTGCTAGAATATATATTTACATGGAAAACTCTTTGATGACCTTTGACGTATAAATATTTTCCTTTCTTTTAAAGGTAGTGTGTGAGTGCCTGTCTCCAGGTGGGTGTGTGTGCAGTAGCTGGCTCTACACTTATGATGTGCAGTGTAAGGTGTCACATATCTCCGAAGAGTCCAGTGTGTTCCTCAATTACCAGCTACCAAGTGCTCAGTTGAAGGCAGGTTGTCTGGAGGAATGTTAATCCACGTCTCCTTTTAGAAGAGGCTTTTTGCTCTTCCATTTTATTCTTTCTTTGCAAAGTTCTATTTTGCATTGGAAAGCTAGGTGTCTTTGTTACACCAGGAAAAAATGAAAGAGCTAACAACAGCGGAGTGTTTAGAGTTTGGGAGATAACTCTTGAAAGTAATATGTAAATCTTGGAAGTGACAAATCAAGAAGAGCACATTGAAGCTGTATCTGATGAATAATAGCTTTCCTCTTTCTTCCTGCATGCTGTTTTTTTGTTTGTACTAATTTAGTGCAAGTACACGTATGCTGACAGCCAGTAATCTATCTATCTAAGAAATGAGTCAGAATTTGGAGGAATTTAGGATTAGTTTCCTTGGTGTGGAATAGGCTTCATCCAGCTTTTTCTGTCTTTCTGAATTCTTTTTTCATTGCCAGTGATTTTGAAACATGACTAAAATGCTGTGTATGTACTTGACCTCATCTAGAGAAACATAATTCTAATGGACACTGTTCACCCCAGGGAATGGAGCAGTGGTCGAGGCACAAGAGATCTGGATTTCATTCCTGGCTGTGTCCCAGGTTTGCTGAGTAATAGGTGGAAGGTCTTTTCTCTGGCGCGTGCCTTTGTTTTCCTGTCTTGTTACCCAGGGAGTATAACAATATTTAATTGCAAGTCATCTTTATGAGGAAAACGATGTAGTTTGCATGCTGTCTTTAATCTTTAAATGGCAATGAAAATATGTTACTTTTTGTCATATCAAAAGAGATGTTTTTAAATAGCAAATCCACTTGAAAAGATATATGCCTGTAAAAATATATTGTTATATTAAATTTCTCTGCCAGGTGTAATTTTCTACAGATATGTTTATATGGTGGGGTGTTTTGTTTTTTTTTTCAGGCCCTGCTTGACACTCAGAATCTTTTGAGAGCTCAGATTACAAATTTTACTTTCAACCTGGGATTTTCAGGGAAATTTTATCACACAGGTAAGAATGAAATAGTAAAATCACTTTCATTTTGATGGTGTTCTTTGTAGTATGAGGAAAGTAGGAATGATAGAGACTAAGGATCTGAGTCCAGAGAAGGATTTCCTTCGTAATTGGATAACTCAAAAATCAAATTGTTCTTTCTTCCAGGTTGCGTTGGGAGATACATTTGTGTGATTTGCTGTATAATTTTTTTCTCCTAGAGTTATTATACCATATTAACCTTTTGTTCAAGCTGTTGTCTGTCTGAAAGTAGCCATGTAGGTAGAGTCTGTAAATACTTCTTTGTGGCAGCATGTCTCTTTTTTTAAAAAAGGGGAAAAAAAAGAAGAGGTGCTCATTCTTTTCATAATAGTCCAATAACTAGGGCAATGACATGCAAAAAGGAGACCCAGGCTGTAGCTTCTAAGAGAAAAAACTAAGCCCTTCAGAAAAGTGTCCTGTCAGGCTATTAAGTTTCCTGAATAAGAGAAATGTTCCTCCTTCTGCAAGCTGGGACATGCAGAAATGGCAGTCACAGAGCCAGGAGGAGACTTTGCAAGAGACAGTCCAAGTTTGGGATGACAGCTTTCTATAGGGGCTATGCATGTTGCATATGTGTCATTGAATAACAGTAAAATCAATCCTGAGAGTGGAATAAAAACATCTCTGACTTTTTCTTTATAATTTCATTCAATTTGGGCTAGCTCAGAAGCTTACTACAGAACGTCTCCCAGGAAGTGGAGAGAGGGAGGCACCCACATAGAATAGGTGAACTGGATTTTTCTCGACATTGGTTTCCTGAGCACACAGAGAATTTAGGTAGTGATTTTAGGTGGGCTGGAGCATCTCAGAATGAGGCACCTTTAATTCTAGTAAGTTGCAGTGCCTGCATTAGGTAGTGGCGCAGAACAGTCTGAATTCGTCTTTCCCTTTTCACTGAATTTCACTGAATTTCTAGAGTTGGAAGGGACCATAGAGATCATCTAGTCCAACTCCCCTGCTGAAGCAGGATTGCCTAGAGCTAGAGCATGTTACTCAGGACTGCATCCAGGCGGGTTTTGAAAATCTCCAAAGAAGGGGACTCCACAACCTCCCTGGGCAGCCTGTTCCAGGGTTCCGTCACCCTCACCGTGAAGAAGTTTCTCCTCATATTTGAGTGGAACCTCTTATGTTCCAACTTGTGCCCGTTGCCCCTCGTCCTCTCGGTGGGAACCACTGAAAAGAGTCTGGCTCCCTCCTCCTTCAACCCTCCCTTGAGATACTTGTAGGCGTTGATAAGGTCTCCCCTCAGCCTTCTCTTCTCCAGACTAAAGAGTCCCAGCTCTCTCAGTCTCTCCTCATAAGGGAGATGCTCCAATCCTTGAATCATCTTTGTAGCCCTACGCTGGACTCTTTCTAGTAGTTCCCTGTCCCTCTTGAACTGGGGAGCCCAGAACTGGACACAGTACTCCAGTTGTGGCCTCACCAGTGCAGAGTAGAGGGGGAGAATGACTTCCCTTGACCTGCTGGCTACACTCTTCCCTATACAACCCAAGATACCATTGGCCTTCCTGGCCGCAAGAGCACACTGTTTACTCATTGTCATTTTACTGTCCACCAGGACCCCTAGATCTTTCTCTTCAGTAGTTGCCTCTAGCGGGTCCACCCCTAACCTGTATTGGTGCCTGACATTCTTCTTCCCCAGGTGCAGGACCCTACACTTTTCCCTGTTGAACCTCATGAGGTTCTTCTTTGCCCAGCCCTCCAGCCTGTCCAAGTCTCGCTGGATGGCAGCACAGCCCTCCGGGGTGTCAGCCACTCCTCCCAGTTTGGTATCATCAGCAAACTTGCTGAGGATACACTCTGTCCCCTCGTCCAGGTCACTGATGAATATATTAAACAGCACGGGTCCAAGTATTGACCCCTGGGGGACTCCACTGGTTACAGGCTTCCAACTTGAACCTGCTCCATTAATAATTACCCTTTGGGTCCTGTCACACAGCCAGTTCTCAATCCACCTCACTGTCCCCTCATCCAGCCCATACTGCCTCAGTTTCCCAATGAGGATGTTATGGGAGACAGTGTCAAAAGCCTTGCTGAAGTCAGTTCCTTTCAACCTGTTGAGTGGTAAATTCCACCAATGAAATGAATTTTTCTATTGACTTCATTGAGGGATCTATTGAGCTACCACGGTTTATCCTTTTGGATAGCTTAATCTCTACTGTAGACATATAGCAATATATATTATCCATTAAAATAATTTAATACTTAAACCACTGTAGAAATAGGGAGAAATAAAAGACAAAGTATTAAATGGGATGTGATATAGAAGAAAGAGGATGTTCTCTACTGACAAACAGAAAGAAAAAGACACGCATGCAAAAGAGGACAGCCTTCAAGACTGGAAGAGAGAGGCAAAAGACAACACAAGGTAATGTCATAGTTGAGGGATATTAATATGAAAAGAGGGATGTGAAGTGACATGTTAGCTGCAACTAGGAACCAAAACCGGATTTGTTCAAAACAAAAGATATCTATACAGAGCTTGAATTTGCTCAATGCTGTGAATGTTATATAGCAGAGGCATGATCATTCCTCTTGTGCTCAGCTGTGCACCTTGGTCAGTATTAGTTGTCATATTAAGAAGAGGCAGGGAAAGAAGTCTAATTTTATAAGAGCTGAACAGCTGGAGAGGAAAGCAGCTGGGGCTGCACAGTCCCTCCACAGGGAGGGACTTGGGCTCAGCAGATTTCAGCTAGATTTGGTAAATGTCCAGGTTTCACCCCTGCAATCCAGGTGTCACCTGCACAGTACAGGGAGACTAGAGATGCCTTAACATTTTTTCACATTGAGGACATAGCTTGCTCCATCCATTCCCATCCCTTCCTCCCCTTTCTTTTGCCTAGAATGGCCTAGCAAAATGGTCCTGATGACCAAGTTTGTCACCTGCCAGTGTCTCAGCAGACAGATCTACTTTCCAGACCATTTATTTTGCCTTAGTTCACAGTTCAGGTGCTCGGGAGGGAACGTGCCATGGGTTTTCTGGTTTTGGATGAGTAGAATCTGGCAATCGTATTGTGTGTTTGTAGTACAGGTTGGGCCAGTTACTGGCTGTCAACTGAATGAGTTGAGCCTGTCTCTGTCACAGCCTATCCCTTGCTGTAGCTTTCTGCCTTTCTTGATACAGTTTCCTCTCCCTGATCTGGCTATCGTGTGACCTTTAAGCACTACTGTCACTTTCTTTGATAACATGTGAACATCACACAAGGCCCCATGGACCCACGTGGAGTCCTAAAATCTAATGATCCTACAGATATTGACACATTACATATGTCTGCCCACATTTTTCACTGACTGCTGTAGTTCCCTCAGAGGTAATGAGGAGTAAAATCACAGCAGTGAAAGTACGTCAGACAAGGTTTGCTGAAGGGAAAAGGAAAAGCAGAAGGCATACAGGGTTAGTGAGAGTGCAGCTGTATGGGTGCAGAAAGCATAAGAGCTGCACGTTTGGCTAAAGATGTAAGAAGGAGAATAGATATTGCAAAATGCTGAGGGAGAGGATTTGTCAAGTTGTGTTGAGAGTAGGAACTATCAGAAAAGCAGGAAGCAGGCACAGCATATAGATGTGTTAATCTATAGGTTGTCAATCTTTGGGTCATACAGTCTTTCTACAGCAGCCCATTAAGGGGTAATTTAAATGTGACTGCCTTTGACAGGACTTTGTCAAGAGCAGTGGGACTAGGATAAGTATCTGGGATTGGGGGTGGAAGGGATGTCCTGATACGCCAGGTCGTTAGACCCTGACACTTCCCATCCCTGAATCTCTGCAAGTAGTTTATAGAGAGGCAGGGCACAGGCCTGAGCACGCAGGGTGGCTGTCATTGCCCTCCCATGACACAAATGGCCTCTGGGGTGCTGGGGGTCCCAGCCAGCCCCCCCGCCAGCACCAAGGGGAGCAGGGGCCTGGCCCGGGAGTTAGCAGGGATGTGGCTACTTCCCTCTCAGGCTGGGAGGATTGACGACATGAAAGGAGCCAGCTGGCCCTGGGCTGAGGACAGGCCCTGCTGCTGGCTTCTCTGTCACTGTAGCTGCAGCACGAGAGGTGTGGGAGAGCAGCAGGGCTGTACACTGCTACCCGAGAGGTTCCTCTTCACCAGCACCTCAGGTAGAAGTGGCGGCAGGGCCCGTTCCCCACACCACGTTCTTAGGAACGCACAGGAGAGCATCTGAAAAGAGAGGCCTACGGCCTAAGAAATGTCTCGGTGAGCTCCAGCCACCCTTAAAGTCTCTTCAAAGATGCCAATTCCTAGGAACTCCTGGATATGAGTGATCCATGATCAGAAAGGTAGGAATTAGCAGGGAAGAGAAAATCATTGTATTATGCATAATATTTTGAAAAGACTGCTGAAAAAAAATACTTCCACGAATCATAGAATCATACAGTGGTTTGGGTTGGAAGGGACCTTAAAGATCACCTAGTTCCAACCCCCCTGCCATGGGCAGGGACACCTCCCACTAGAGCAGGTTGCTCAAAGGCCCATCCAGCCTGGCCTTGAACACCTCCAGGGATGGGGCATCCACAGCTTCTCTGGGAAACCTGTTCCCAGTGTCTCACCACCCTCAGAGTAAAGAATTTCTTTCTGGTATCTAATCTAAATCTCCCCTCTTCCAATATAAAACCATTACCCCTTGTCCTATCACTACACTTCCTGACAAAGAGTCCCTCTCCGGCTCTCCTGTAGGCTCCCTTCAGATATTGAAAGGCTGCTATAAGGTGTCCCTGGAGCCTTCTCTTCTCCAGGCTGAACAACCCCAGCTCTCTCAGTCTGTCTTCATAGGAGAGGTGCTCCATCCCTCTAATCATCTTCATGGCCCTCCTCTGGACCCATTCCAACAGGTCCATGTCCTTCCTGTATCATAGGTAATGAAAGGAAAAGAACTTTGATTGGAGAGTGAATTTACGTTGGATAAGGAATACCAGGAAAGAGTTGTCAACGTTTTCATTTTTACCCTGTATTAAACTGGCTTGTATACATTTCTCTGATTCTGTACCTTAGCTACTGATGTTACCTACATGATTGCTACCATGTGAGGACAAGTGTTGTACCATGCATTCCAGATGCTGTGAAAACAGGAGTCTCAGTCTTTCACTTGGAAAAAATTACTTCAGGAAAAGGAATATGTACTTGGAAACATTTAATATCCTCAGTACTTTTAGTGGCCGCATTTCATTATGCTAATGTCTCTCATATTTTCAAACACTTGTAAGAATATAATAAAAAGTAGAAGCTTTACTTCAGAGATACTCTTTATTTTTTTATTTTTTTTCAGGCACTGAGGAGGAAGATGAGGGCGATGACCTGTTGTTGAGGTCTGTAGATGAGTTTTGGTGGTTTCCCCATATGTGGAGTCACATGCAACCTCATCTCTTCCACAATGAGTCGTCACTGGTAGAGCAGATGATCCTCAACAAAAAATTTGCCTTAGTGAGTTATATTTTTGTATTTTATATTGAATTTAGGTATTCAGAAACCATTGTTCCTATTTTGTTTGAAAATCAGTCCTTGCAGAATTTGTTTTAATCTCAAGAATTGAAAAAAAAAAAGAAAGCTGTGATAACGTGTGTATTGTAATCACTCTGTTGTGCAATGAAAACTCTATTTCTCTACAGTTTGGATTTCCTTCTCAATTGATGCTTGAAATTTTTCACCATCTTGGAAAGTCAGTATAGATAAAAATCTTCTATTTAAATATTTTCCTAAAAAAATTTTGTCCAAATAACCCATTGTTTAGATTAGAAAAAATCCAGTTTTCTGAAAGTATAAATACTCTATCAAAACACGTCAAATGATTTTATGAAAACAATGCACGTTAAGATCAATGAAGTATGCCACATTTTCGAAGATACTTTTCTGTGATGATACCTAATAACATCTTATATATTCCCTTTGGATCAGCTTTATAAAACCTTGTTTTGAAAAGCATTGCCTTTACTAATTATTTATTCACAGCAAAGCTCTGAGAAAAAATGTTTTGGTGAGAATAGAAGTAAAAATAAAACCAGGTCTTTAGGCCTGAGGATACTAGAGAAACAGACTTACCTTTTCTCTACAGTTAATCTCATACAATAAAACAAAACCAAACTTCCATACATAGCACATATTATTTGTCTGAAGAAATGGTCCAGTGTAAAGTCATGAAGTCTTATATCAGAATGAAGTCCTTTATCTCCCAACAGCCTAATTTTACTTCTCCCCTTTCAAAACACACTGGTTGCTCTTTAGCTGGCAGGTAGTGACTTTGTTCCTTGAAACAGCAGGGGGATTTGAAATACCAGAACAAAATGCAGTGCACTGGTGGTCATGTCTCAGTGGGTGTAGGAGGAAGGCATAGACCTAGAATATCATGAAATTAAAATTTGTATTTGGAAACCTTGCTTTTAAGTAAGTAAGGTATGTGCTTTCTTTTGACCAAAGATTTTACCAAGTTTACAGTATGCTGCAATTGTACTGAGTACAGGCCAGCTCAGTTTTACTGTTTCCGTTAAAGACAGCATTTCAGTAGAAGTTAGAACCATGAAAATTTAAAAATCCTGTGTCCAAAATTCCCCCTTTCACCTGCGTACTGTTGCAAGCACCATTGTAAATAAATTAGTTCTTGTAGTTATGATGTGATCTAAGACATCCCGTGGGATTAGTCTACAGTGTGCAACCATTAAAGTATGTTGTTAGAATAGTTAATATTCAATCTTGGTTTAGGTAACTTCATCATTTTCTGGTTTCTTCATTACTTTCAATGCTCTTAATTCTTACAGATACCTTATATTAAATATTTTTTGTATCCAAAGCGATGTATAGACATGAAGCTACTCGTGCATCATTTGCTTAAAACATTTAAATCAGTAACAAAGATAAGTATTCTGCTTTTTTTGAAAGAGGCTCAAATTGGTGATGCCTCATGCATTATCAAGCTGAATGTGTATATTGTGTGTGAAATGCTCAACTTGGAAATTACAGTCACTAAGAAATAATGGAGATGCTGATACATTGAAGATGATAGGCTCATAATTAGAATGAAAGATTTTAATCACTTATTTATTACTTCATATTGTAAAACTTGAGGAAGAAACTCTTAAACATCAGACATTTGTTTATATCTGAATGGAGATTAAATGGGACATGAGAGAATGCAATTTCTTACATGTTCTGTAAAGATTTTTCTTCCCAATGTTTATGCATGCTTAAGGAAAGTAGAAAGATAAAGTGAAGAGGAACTGAAGTAACTGCGATGGAATTAAATAGTATAAAGCTGTGTAACTGATGGTGTATCCATTCTTTATTTCCTCATGCAGTAAAAGCAACAGACCAGATCTTACTCCTTCCTACTTTGGCAGATCACACACAGTGCACCCCAGCTGTAAAGCAGCAGCCCACGTACTCCCTGGGTGCAGTGGGATCACTGGTGGGGGGTTTGGATCTTACCCGTGAGCAGTACTGCCTTACAAGAGTTCCAAAAGCTGCATCTACTGCCCCATTATGTCTGAACTTGCTTTGTTTTAAGCTGTTAGTAAACTTGTCATATTTAAACAGATATGTCTAATATTGGATTCTGCTTATTTAATCTTTTTAAGTCCAGTACATCGCCTTTCCTGCAGGAGTCCAGTCCTCCTCCAGAAAAGATGAAGAAAGATGGTTTTACTAAGGTCGCGCACCCGTTTTTCTTTGAGATAACACTTACAGAGTTTTTCATATTCCTTAGTAACTAGTTTATTCAAAGGAAGAGACCCAAATATCAACGAACTCTTACCTTTGCACATGAAGTATGATTAGAAAATACAGTGAAGATGACCATACAAATACAAACAATATAAAAAGCTCTTGAACAGAATTCAAAGGTTGTGCAAAGGCAGTCTTCCTAAATCATTGCAGAATGTCAACATCTTACGGACAGTGTATTCAGCTAATCAGGCTATCAAAGAAATATTTGCTATATACTGTTCCTTTGAAAAGTAACCTGAAAGAAAGGAGAAAAGGTGTCAAAATTCATGAGAGTATGTTGGAAACCAGAAACTGGTAAAAAAATATATTGAACGTCAACAGAAGATAATACCAGCAAGGTCAGTTTATAAACAAGATAAATGGCAGGAGTCTGCAAAAATGGATGATGTATTAGAAAAGAGGTTAGTCTACATCTAGCATCTGCCTCTTATCCTCAGAATTTTGCAAGTGGTTATCTTTCTCGTTTTTAAAAATGTCACTAAAGTAGTTAAGCAGGTTTTTTAATATGGTTTTATTTTTTGAGTGGACTGAAGGGGACATGCAGTGACTCTGAAATTCAGCTAACAATCCAAGTAATTGTGTAAGGGACTTTTAGTGGAAATCACACTTTTGCTATTGTAACTGCCCAATGCTACTTGTTGTGTTTAATATGTGTCAGTAATTTTCTCTGTGAATTCTTAGCTTGTGAGTAAATTCCTTACAAGAACTTGAAAGAATGCAGCTTTCTGCTTAATGTAGATGAAAGAAACCAACGTAAAATACATCTATATCACTCTTCCCTACATACTCAAAAATATTTATTAAAAAGGCTTTTGTATTAAAGTCCTGTGTTTCATCTTCACTGTGCTGCTTTCTGTCTCTCTTACATATCAGCATATTTTGATATCACCATTATTTGCATTTCAGACCTGTTCTTGATCTTTTACAAACAAAGGATTTGAGAAATGCCAAAACATCAAGTTTCTTAAATTTTTGAAAGCAGTCATTGTTCTGTTATGTTTTAGGAACATGGTATTCCAACTGATTTTGGCTACGCAGTGGCTCCACACCATTCTGGAGTCTATCCAGTACATGTTCAACTTTATGATGCCTGGAAAAAGGTCTGGAATATCAGAGTTACCAGCACAGAAGAGTACCCTCATCTGAAGCCTGCCAGGTATAGACGAGGCTTCATCCACAAAAATATCATGGTGAGTTGTATTTATGATGTTTGTATCCCAACCACTCTACCATTTTATGAACAATTTATTTTTAAGTGGAAAAGCACGGTATCCTGAAAGCTCACATTGTGAGAAGCACATATTGCTATGCATAAATGGCAAGATATATTTGACAGTATCTTGTTAATTAAAATCAGTCTGTTGCTGATGATGTAACTGCTGATGAAGGTGGCCTCCAGGCACCCCGCTGTTAGCACTTAACAGGCTGTTAACTATCCTAGTCCTACTGATAATACTGGTTCAGAGATCTCAAGGAGAAAAGTCTTATCTTGCATCTTTTAACAGAATATTATGGGGTAGATTTCTAGCAGGTTTCAAATTTGCATAGTACCATTAACTGCAAAAGAGTTTTGCCAGTTGGTGCCATCTGAGAATCTGGATCTTGGTGCATAAATATATATTTATTTTTTTTTCTTCCGTTTGAATGGTGCACAGTTGCCCTCATTTTGCTTCCTGCCATACAGAAATGTGACCTTGACCTGTACTTTGTGCTGTGGCTTCACCCTGCAGCTAGGCTCTGGGCCCAGGCCATCCATCTGGGTGCAGGACAAACACTGGAAGGTTGGGGGGAAGGTAGACACGCACACACCACACTACCTTGAGGCTGTGAAACTGCTCTCTGCGGCAGCCACAAGTCAAATCACACGTTTTTTCTGTATTATGCAATTGACAGTGTTGTTCACTGACAGCAGTGTTTGCCAAAAGGGGTTATACACAAGGCATTATGCTAATACCATCTGGTTACCGGGGCATAGGCCATTTCTGATTCACATATTGTCATTATTATCTGAGAAGTGTTTCAAAACAACTTTCCAAAATACTTGATGGTATGTTCTTCAGTCACTCTCTTTTGGAGTGTGTAGGAGAGTGGTGAATGGGAAAGATCCTAGCGTGTGTACTGTTATACCTCTGGCTGCAACAAGCCGTTTTGGAGGGTCAAGTGCCTTTGCACAAGACTGTCACTTAGCTTATAACAGAATTCTGGTATTGTCCTCGAGTTACCATGGATACCACTTTTCTAAGCAAAATAATAATCTTTAAAAGTTCTGATCTATTTTTGGATGAAGCAAACTAAAATGATCTCCAGACATCCAGGAAAAAAATTGACGCTATACGGATTTGGGCTGCAGTTCGTTCTCCTCAAAGCAATAGCTGCATGTGAAATAATGGGTTTGTGGATATGCTCAGGGGGCATGAAGCATTTGAGGAAGACTGATTGACTCTCCGAATCTCCAAAAGTCTCTTTCATAAATTTTTGTAAAAACATGTCATTTGAAGACACGTAATGAGATTTAACACAAGGACACTAGGGCCAAAAATCTATTTCCAAGAACAGTCATATAAAACCACCTGTTTGGGGAGTCTCACGCTTTCAGTTCTCCAGGGCAAAATGCATTAATATTTTACATCTGCAGGCTTATAGTGATGAATACATTCAGTAATAAAATCCTTGTGTAAGATCTGCCAGAGCATTTCCTGTCCAGTACAGTTTCATTCCCTGCCTCTGTGAAGAATTGTTCTCACATTTCATCAGTGAAATCCAAAGGTTTTTAAAAAGCATATGCAAGTTTATAGCAAACATACAAATTCCATACATTTTCTGACAACACAGAATTTATGATCTGTGGTCACAGTATCCTCCTGTACATTACAAAAAAGATGTTGAGAAATGAAACTACAGGAAATGAAGAGTATCTATAAAACCACAGTCTGTGTCAAGTAAGGGACTTGTATGTTTTAAAAGTTTGAGATACCATATAATTAATGTTCTGAATTGGACTAAAATGTTTGAGAACAATCCCAGTTTAAGAATTGTAACAAACAATCAATACTCAGCTGTTAATTTTCCATAAAAATTAGATGTAATTGATATACTCTATAGCAAATTATTTTCTGAAGTTCTACTGGAAAACCAAACTGTATTTATTAGTTCTTCCCATTCAAAAGACGTGTTCTTTGTGTGTTTTTAAAAATACTTTTGTTTATGCTACTTTTTATTGCAACTGGTCTTACAAGGCTAGCACATTTGGATGAAAAGCAAATATTTCTTACAATGTGAGCTTTATCAGCAAAATTCATCCGTGTCAGTGTAGAATTATTATTGGTCATGATGCCTAAGTCAAAGTAAAGAAAATTGACTTTCAAATTCCTGTTTAAATTTACAACAAAGCCATCATTCAACTAAAAAATGGAACTGATTAATACAATGTAGACTGATAATATTTCAGATTATGTTTCAAATTATTTTAAAGCTATAGAAATTTTTGATGACCAGACTTCAAATACTTGATATTGGTATCAGGTGTTATGGACATAATTAGTTTGAGGAGGTTGCTGAATTGTAGCTTACTGATTGAGATCAGTCTCCAGTCTCAAAAAAACCAAATGTGATGAATTTTTGGATGTGTGAATTCACTGATAATAAAAATGTTATTTCTTTCAGTAAGCACTAGCTATTAGTCTGCCGATATATTAATTCAAGTAGATCATTATTGACTTCTGGCAAAGTTGTGGCGCCAAATCTACTAAACAATTATCACAAAGGAATGTTATCAGTTATGTATTACTTATTTGGCATTTATTATCTCATTAAAAGTATAATTTTTTTTGTGAATTTCTCTTGAAATTTTTTTTTTTTTTTAAATAAATTCAGGTGCTTCCTAGGCAGACTTGTGGCTTATTCACTCACACAATTTTCTACAAAGAGTATCCTGGAGGCCCAAAGGAACTAGACAAAAGTATTCAAGGAGGAGAGTTGTTTTTCACAGTGGTTCTCAATCCAGTAAGTACAGTGTAATTTTGAAAAGTTTTTCAAAAATTAGTTAAAGGAGAAGTTATTGAGTGCTTCAAGGCTAATCAGCTGAGTCTCCCAAATAGTAATAATTAGCCACAGTGAGCTCTTCTGCTTTTTCAGTTAATTAACTTAAGATCTAATATTGTGTGTTCTGTTAGTCATACAAAAATAATCTTCACCTTTTTTGACAACTGTTTTGTTAGGAATGCAGTAGTAGCAACCTCTCATCTTGTTCTTTATTTTTGCATGAAATAAGAACCCTGAGATTTAATTTTTAAAAGAATTCATATGTTAAGAACTGATACTACTGTGAGATGAGTACCTCAGGTGAAGTCCATTTTCCTCCTCTGCCAAATTCATAATCAGAAATGTGAGGAACACTCATGGGTTTGGGAAAGTTGCAAGTAAGGAGTGCTTGAGCCTAAATCTGTTTTGAGAATTTTCAGTTGCTGATTCATAATAGCTTCAACAAAAAGATCCAAGTAAGTAAACCACGTAGTTAATACATCTGCTTAGCCTTATCTTTAGTGGAAGAATAAACAATAAATGAGGCTATGAAACTACAGAATACTGACAGAAGAGAACAGTATAGTACTTCAAAATGGCATGGGATTAGGTCAGTTGCATCAAAACTGACCTTTTAGACAAGCTTTTAAGTGAGTTTTTGATCTGAAGTTCAAATGAAACATTTAAATAAAATTTACCCATTTTATACAAATGTAATCCTTAGGACTCATTTTTTTTCATAACCTACAGGGAACAAAATCCTTTGGAATGCTAGCCTAAATATTTTTGTGCCCTACTTTTAATCTTTCATAATTTAATGGAAGTCCAAAGGAAAAAAGCTGCTGTCAGCTACTTCAACAATTTATATGCAGGTCTATTTTTCAAGCCTTAAATTCTTTCAGACTATAGTTTTGGTTCTTTGAGAGCAATGACTGTGTTTTGTTCTCCTTTTTCATGTTCATATAGCAGAATTAGGAGATAAAAACTTCACTTCCTCAGCCTACATGTCGTTTCCCTTCTAGAGGATGGCACTAGTCCCCATCCTGACTTTGATGATGTATGTGATTTCAGGCACAGCATTTTAACAGAGGGGAGACGAGGAAAATTCCATGGATGGAGGGTATTGATACCATAGTGATGCTCTGGCAATGTATGGATTTTAGCTAAGAGATACTAGCTTAACAAATGAGACTGAGAGGAAGACATAGTAACAACATTTGGAATCAGGACAGACTGTATTTTGTATTGAAACACAGCCACAACTTACCATCCTACAACAGTAGGAAAACAGCAAAATATGGTTACTCGAGGCATAAGCCTTTCAAATTAAAAGAATGAAGAGAATGGAGGGAAAGACAAGATAAGCAGTGAAACAATCATGATTTTTGCTATTAGTCATAGAAGTTTTATCATACCTGCCTAACATCCTTGAATGTAAGCACAATAATGCTTTTTTATGTATTACAACTAGATCTTCGATTAATGCATTGTAATGTAGACTGTATGATCACCTAGTTCTGAGAAATACGATGTCTCCGATACAGTACAGGCTAAAAGAATACAAGTTAAATGCACTATTTTCTAAATACAACCATAAATGACTATTAGGCAGAAATTTGCCCAAGACAAATTGTTGCAATCCTTTCAAGGAATGCCTTTGAAAAGGTGATATGTCTGGTTTTATGTAGCTGCTTATAAACAGTTTCTAAAGTTTTGTAATCTAAAATTGATTACAAAGGCATGTAATCAATTTAAAAACTAGGGTTTGCATCTTTGTGGGTTTTTAAGTATTACATGTATTTATACCATAATTTGCAAGTCAGAGCTAGGCAAAGATTAGGCATTAAAATGAAAACTAAGTAGCCTTAGGAATTTGTCTAATTATGAAGTGGAATTTTGGATTTCATAAGCTTTCCTGTGTTTTCATCAAAATTGCTGAGATTTCTTAATGTGAAACACCCTGCTTTTCAGAGGATGCAAAAAATTCATTATGAGGCATTTTCTACACTTTATTTTTCACTGATGCAAAACAAAGAAGAACACATTACCTTTGAATCATTACAATGTCAGCTCAATAATATTCTCAGTAATGAGTACATAAATTTTTAGTTTCCAAAAATGGAAGATATGGGTGTAAATTAAATATAAATCTTAACAAAGACCTTCATTTCCCAGTTTAATTTGGATAAATGATCTTAAGTGAATATAGTTTCTGAGGTGTAGGTTACTAGGCTGAGGTTTTAGAAACTGAGTACCCTACTCTGAAATAAATTCCTCTAAGAGTAAAGCCCAAAATTTCTTTGTGGTTTGGCTGTGTAATGGTAGCTATTCACAAGACAGGCTTTGCTTCCTTGGAGTATGCCAGATCTACCACAATCTGCAGAGTAAACCACAGAAAAACACAGGACCACATGTGCTGCTCTAAGCTTTTGACATGAGAACCAGCGTTATTGCCCTGTTCCCAGGGCATTGTACAGTCAGAAATCCTGCAGGTAAGAAAAGCATCAGGAAATCCTGCTCTGCAAGTGATCTCTCCTAGTTACATTTTATATGGGAACTAAGAGTTGGTTTGTTGGAGTAGCTAATCTTGTGGCTGGTGAGCTGTATTTATGTGGTGTGCATTTATATCCCCACACTGCTGGTTTGATTGTGAGCTGATGGGGGCTGTAAAGTGATCTTGACAGCTATGCCTGTTGTGTTCATAAGGCTTCTAGAATGCTGAAGTGCCACCGACCTGAAAAAGAGCCTAAGTAGTGATATAACACACTATCTACTTTTCCAGTGCTATTTTATATGTCTGTCTTCTGTTAAGGATCTTGCTGACTTCAGCGGCCCTTAGGCAAGATCATACTATATCAGGATCTTACACAGAATGTTTTACAGAAAAAAAAGACAAAAAAAAAAAAAAAAAACAACCGTCAGCAGCCCTGTAGTATTAATATACTGGCATTATTTTCCCCACATTGTCAGTTGGATAATGGACTTGGAGGTTATGTGACTTGCACTTGTTTAGCAAGGGAATTTTGTAGTGAAGCCACAAGGAACACATGGATTGTAGAAGTCTTTAATGATAAGTATCTTATCAAATCAGATAGCTCTCTTTCTTTGTTTTATTATTTCACATTGTTACTTTTTTTTCCTAGCACTGTACTGACTTTAAAACCTTTTAGCAAGTATTTTTCCTGATAAACCTGTGGAATCTTCAGTTACTGCAGATTCATCTATCTCTCTCTATAATATTGAGTGAAGTTCTTGGATTAATAAACAAATTTCTGCTAAAAGTCTCTTAGAATGAAATTGTACTAGTCTCCTAAATATGTCTTGTAAATGGTGAAGGTAGTGAGCAATTAGAGATTGAGCTATATATAGTGATGAGGGAGGTATAGACGCTGCCATCAACTGCATCATTTCTTGTCAGGTTTGCTAATAGATCTGTACCAATACTGACAAGACTCTGTCAATACTTCTGAACCACTCTGAAAATAATTAGACCTAAGAACCAAGCTAAACTAAGCATAGCTGAACTGAACATGCCTTTGTAAATACTATTTGAATATTCCTTTGTCTGCCACTGTATATTTTCCTCTTCTGCAACTAGGAACAGACATACGTGTTGCTGCTTTATGGAAATGTGTCTGTACTAGTTACCTGTCTGTGCCACAGCCATTGTTTCTACACGTAGTTGGTGTGGAAAATGTACAATAAAATATGCTAGGTATTTTATTGTATTTTATTCTGAGACCAGAACAATTCAAAAAGCACTGATATAATAAAGTATTCAGAGACCTAAGTTAAAAATGAGCTTCTTTTAGCTTGCATGTGTTGCAATGGATTTAAGTACCAAAACTTGATTAACTGAGTAACTTAAGCTATCTATTGCAAAATTATTTGTTTGATATGAAACAGTATTGTTCAATCATTAACAGGAACTTAACAAATCTGACTGTCTCAGTGATGAACACATACTACATTAATACATAAACATAAAGGCTATACACTCTTCATCTTTTCAGGAAAAGTAAAAATTGTGTCTGGAACAGGATTTTCTCTAATGATGTGCATCGTCTTTCATGAAAGCAGCTATTAGCGATGAGCTATTAGAGCAGCTATTGTCAGATGAGCACTTGAAATTCACTCACCTGTCCTACTGGGCTGAGGGAGGCTACAGAGTAAGAGGCAAACGTGTTGAACAGCTCTTGTTCTCCTTGAGGCTGCACAGCCAGCAACCTCAGTTGACACAAATGGTGTGTGAGCTTACTCTGTGCTACAGTCAAACCAATTTTAAAAGGCGTTACTGCAAACAGCATGTTATATCCCAGTAACAGAAGAAAAAGGTTCCTATCTGTGAGTTTGTATGTTTGGATTCCATGGAATGTATACAAATCAATAATCTTAACATGTGGATCTGCACATTTTGCACAGCAAAGTCAGTGGGATTTTTCCCCTTTCCTTCCCATTCTTGTTCCTATTAATGGGATAATATGTAGGTATATCATTGTTCCTTATTCTTTAAGGCATTGACACACTGGGGAAGGAATAGAGTTGAAAATAATGCTGAGAGTTGTATAATGAAGTGGAAATCCATGGTACAAGGACACCCTGCAGACTCAAACTTATTTGCAAAACTGGAAGCAGTTGACTGAAGAGGACTATGAAGGACTGAGAAGGACTCCAATTTGAAGAGAAATCAAAATGATCAAGATTTATTATATTTGAAAAGAGATGAAAAACAGAAACAACTATGAAATTCCATGAGGTACCTAGACAATGAACTCCTGTTACCTATCTTGAAACAGAAAACCAGAGGATAGCCAATTAAATGAGGATGAGAATTTTAATGAAAATTAATCAGAATCTTCCTCTAAGGTAGTGGTTGTGACTTCAAGAATTTACTAAGATTTGAAATATGGAATTAAATTTGATTTGGTATTCATGCCTATAGTAGTTGATAAGACATGGATTCCATATAAACTTCCATGCTT